TAAGGCAGCTTTAATCGCCTTTTTGGTAACTTCATGACTTAACTGACCACGACATTGCATGCATGTAGTTTATTTCGCACTTTGATATGAAAGGATACAGGCTACAGTGCGGGCCGGCGCCTTTGTGAGTGCATTTGAAGAGCACGCACTGCGAGCACAGTACCATTTCCGCGCTTGCGCCTGGCATTGAAGTGAAGTAAATATTTTTAACACGTTAAATTAAAAAAATTAATCGCATAACATTTTATCCTTTAAAAACTTAGGACATCTTAATGTCTTTGACCCACATATGAATATGCAAATTAATTCATTAACCTATATTAAAAGTAGAGGTCGACCGATAGTGGATTTTGCCGATACCGATAGCTAGGTTGGACCACACTGGCCGATACTGATTAATCTACCGATAGTTTTTAAAATGGATACTGAACGAAAATTAAAATAGTGCTTATTTAAAAAAATAAAAAAACAGTACTGAACCATACTTTGTACATGACTAATATTATTAATATTAATTATATATTGATCATTAAAGTTATTTCATAGTACATTTACTGTTAATCAGAAGCAACTTCAAAATTAAAAATGCATTAGTAGACGTTGGAATGAACACACTCTAACTATCCATCTTTAAATATCTACACAAAGGCCATAGCATTGAAATTACATGCATATGGATATTGTGTGTATACTCACACACTTTAATTGCTTCTGTTCTAGAAGACGTGATGATTATCTAATCAAAATAACAAAATATGACAGTCGCACACTGGGGAAAGCACCGCATCTAGGAGACCTCGCAGGTATATCAGGTATCACACAGCGGACATGTCGCGTTCAGTTCAAGCGGAGGTCTAAAACAGTTTATTTAATCACCAAACGGGCAAAAGTTAACTTCAGGAATCATCAAAAAAGCGGCATAGAGGAGTTTGAAGTTTGGCGTTTAAAAAAACAAAGCAAAACAGAAAGATTCAAATAATCCAGTCAGAGCGAGTCTCCAGTTAACAACTCACTCCCTGCGTTCCATTCGGAAGGACTCATCCCTATACCCTAATCCCTTCAAAGGGTTTACCCTCCGAGTGAGAGCTTCGAAGGGTTGAAGGGTGTTCCTTTGTTTGTAGGGGACCAAACAACTGTTTCTTGAAGTGCCCTTCTGCGTCATCATCCCATGCCCACACGGAGGTGCTGTCATCATGGAAAGAATCAGCACAAGCGGCAGGATTTTCTGTCGGCTGCATTTAAATCCGCGTCTGAAGTTTCCTGCTCTGTTCAGTGTGCAGTATCACGTGTCTAAACAAATAGCACGTGCTGTCAGTGATTTCAACCACTAGAGGACGCTCTCGCACTGTGTAATGACAGCAGACCCTTCTCAGCCGCTCCAGCAATGGACGCAACCCGGAAAACTATCGGCATGGATTTTTGTCGACATCCGATAGTTCCAGCAATCAACTATCGGTGCCGATTAATCGGCAAAACCGATACATCGGTCGACCTCTAATTAAAAGTACATAAAATTGAATTTCAAATGCAAGATGACCATTTTATTTCTTAGATGATCACTGGATGCTAAAGTCATGTCACCAGCGCAGTATATTATGGTTTCAAATGTTTATTTGTGTGTGTTAAGCCAAACCTAACCAGTATGTAACCAACCAGCACAACCTTAAACTCACCTAGCAACGCCTTAGCAACCACCCTGAACACTTTAGCAACCATGTTAAGCACAGCACAGCACCCATTTGTTTTGCAAAGTTAAACACAACCCACATTTTTCCTTCTAAACTGCATACTTACTGTTCTGGGATCAGGTTTCTTGCTCTTCCTCAAGGTGACATAAGAGGCGATGGTGGAGGATTCAGGCATGGGTGATTTAGTCCTGGGATTGACCACTCCGACGGGGTAAACTACACCTGACAGACAGACAAAGACAGAGATCAGTGATCAGCAGTGATATACAGAGTTGATATGTAGAGATGTAAGCGATAAAGAGTTTTATATATATATATATATATATATATGTGTGTTTGACGTGTTTGTCAGGCACCTTTGGTGACGCCGGGTGGCTCTTTCTCTGCCGTCTGCTCAGATTTGTCTTCGCTGTTGCTCTCGTCGACCTCAGCTACTGTGGTGAGCTCCGGCTCGCTCTTATACAGTCTGTAATCGGGCCCCTGAGAGCAGAGATTTCACCTGTTTACACATGATTTACCGTACGAGACCTGCTGATTCTGCTGCCATTACGTGAAGGTTATGATCACGGATTACATAATAAAAAAAAAATGGGAATAAAAAAAGAAACTAAGCCTCACAAAGGATGAGGTACAAACCTACGCAATGCTGCTGATCTACTGAATGTCGTACAGGAAGCACTCAAAGATGAACGTTTGATAAAAACCAAGAGGGTTAAAAAGCAAAAAGCACTTGAATAAATACCAAGTCAACCGAAATGGGTTTTTAAAATTGATTATTCTGCCCAAAATGAAAACGGTCAACTATTTCTTCATTACACAGGAAACAATAGCACCATACAAGCTTGTAATGACATAAGGATGGGTAAATAATGACAGAAATAGCTTTTTTGGGGTGAAATATTCCTTCAAAAGCTGGTATCTAAAGAGCAGGTGGCTGATATAATGCAGGTACATAATTTATACCATTTAATATTTCAAACAGGCTAAATAGAAGCGATATTAATTTGTTTCATTTAGAAAATGTTTATGGTTGCTCTTGTTGTTATTTAATTAATTAATTTATAATAACATTGAATAACCTAAAGTATAGGTGCTGGGTTCACTTTTTTAATGCATTTATTTATTTGACAATGTTAAATAATGTATAGGTGGTCAGTATAAATTAATAGCATAAAACATTGAGGGGGGAAAATCAGGCAGAAATAGTTTATAATGTTAATGTATAGGTGATCAGTAAAAATTAATAATATAAATCAGTCAGAAATTGTTTTAGAAATTAAACTGTAAAGGTGGTCAGTATAAATTATTAAAGTAAAAACTGTAAAGAAATCAGGCTGAAATTGATGATACATAATGTATAGGTGGTCAGTAAAAACTAATTAAAATTAAACAAAATTTGGAAAAAAAAAAAAACTCAGAAATTGTTTATGACGTTAAATGATTTATGGGTAGTCAGTAAAAACTGACATAAAAATTGGGAAAATTCAGGCAGAAATGATGTTGTTAATATATAGGTGGTCAGTATAATTTAATAAATAAAAACTGGAAAGAAATCAGACAGAAATGGTTGATTATCGAGTGACGAGGCTGAGATAATGGGGAATCAACACAAACACAGATCATCTCCGAATGGCGGAAATATGCTTCTATCGCTAACAAAAACACAATCTAAACTCAAAACCAAAGCTAATGTTGGGTTTCTGAAGCGATGGCGATGGGTTAAATGAAGATGGCGGATGGGATGGGGTGGGCGAGGGGGTCACAGCTGCATCTTACGCTGTGGGCGCCGTTGCGCTGGGCGGCCTTGCGGTCCTCGGGCCGGTGAGGGGTGGTGCGAGGCGCGTGAGGGGGCCGGTCTCCCCCCTCATAAGAGCACGGGAGAGGAGGACGCGGAGGCACTGAGTCTGACTCCTACACAGCGCACACAACGGGACAGTGAAGGAGACTGTTGCCACGGGCAACAACCAACCAAAGCAGCACAATACAGGTGAACTCGTCCTGAAGATCGTTAGCGTGTGTGTCTGTGTGCTCGTTTAGACAATTAGACAACGATTATCATCATGATGTCTGGAATAATCACTTACTTCACTTTTATGCAGGTTTGACAGGGGGTTTACACCAGGAAAACCTATAAATACAGAAGACGATGGGAAAAATGCTTATGAATTCATAAAACTAGTGATGCTACTGTTAACTAAAATTAAAACTATGGTTTCAGTTAATTGAAATAAAGCTGAAATAATATATAAATAATAGATGAAAAACTTAAATGAAAATTAGAAATGTTGCCCTGGCAACTAACTGAAATAAAACAAATTTAAGCGGAAGTACTAAAATGACTAAAACTAAAGCTGAATCGAAATACAAAAAAAGGCTAAAAAAAAGTACAAAAGCACAATTAAATTGAACTTCAATTAAAATGAAAAGGAAAAGGCTAATTCAAAATATTAAGATACTATAACAGCATATAATTAATACTAAAATAATACTGATAAAAACAGTTATTACTGCAAATTATTGTAAATAAAAATGTAATAATTGTAAAATAAATAATATATGAAAATTTATGTTAACTGGAAAAAGGTTTAAAAATGTATAGTTTTTGTTTTGTTTTATTATTGCAAATTACCGCAATAAAAGATTTTCATTAAAAAATATATGTAATTAAATTCATGTAAAAAAGTATAATTATTTTAAAATAAATCTTAACTAATATATGTAAAACCAGACATTTTAAAGTATTAATATAAATACAGAATTATAAAATGGAAATTGGAAAAAGGTTTAAAAAGATATCATTTTTGCTTCGTGTTAAATTTACTATAAAGAACAACGTATGGAAAAAAATGTTAAAAAAGTACAATAATTTTAAAATAAATCTTAAAGAACATATGAAAATTAATTGACTTAAAATCAGACATAAAATGTATAAATCTAAATACAGAATTATTTATCGGAAAATGGAAATTTACTATTGCAAAGAAAGAAAAAGAAAGAAAAAGAAAAAATATATGTAAAAAATACATACAAATATAATAATCAAAAAATAAATATTAAGTAATTAATGTAGATGTACAGATTTTAAAATACACATGGAAATTTGAAAAAGCTAAAAAAATTATTATTTTTTGTCTTGTGTTATTGCAAGTTACTATAAAGAAAAATGTCCATGAAAAAATATATATTAAAAAGTATATATGTAAAAAATAAATAACAAAAATTGAAAAATAAATCTTAAATAATATATGAACATTTATAGATTACAAAAAGGAATAAAAAAATATAGTTCTTGTGCTGAGGCCTATAAAAACCTTGGCAGAGTGAGTAGAAAGCTGAACAAAACTCATTACAGTTGCTCATATCTGTTACTGTGGTGTTGTAGATTATCAGTGAGTTGAGTTGCAGTTCTGAGTGGGTTTGTGTGTTTTTCTGGTTCTCTCACTGGGTTCTGCGTTTCTCTTAGGTTTGTTCTTATTCAGCGCCTCCATCACATCCTGAATCCTCCACAACTCCTTCTGGATCTGAACGTGTTTTTGGCTGGGCGGCTCCGTCTGCACGCGCACACACAAACACCTCAGCTCAATGTCTATGGAATTATCTTCAATATACATTCACGTATTGCTAGTATTCAGTCAAATGTGTCACCTGTGGGCTCCCGAGGGCCTCGAGCTGCTCCAGCAGGTTCGTTTTGGCCATGTTGACGTCTGCCTCCAGTCGATCGTACTCTCTCCAGCTCCGCTCCAGCTCCTGTCAGCAGCAAAGCATTATGGGTGAGCGACTGAAAGCGTGTCGCATTGCATCAATCAAAGCAGACGTTACGAGGGACGTACAGTGTTGACGCGCGACAGCTCTCTGCAGGTGCTGAGCAGGCCGCTCTGCAGGACGTCCCGCTGCTGGATGACGCTCTGCACCACCACAGGGTTTTCAGCGCTCATCTCGATCTCCTGACTGGCTGACAGTAGGGCCGTCTCCAGCGTGTGCTGCAAACACACACATGCGTGAATGAGACGGGCGTCACAATGCACTGCGACACGCTGAGGATGACGCCGTTTGCTACCTTTTCTCTGTGGAGCTGCTGCAGTTTTTCTTCTTGAGCTCTCACTACTTTATCCTGCTCACACAGTCGACTTAACTTCGTCTGTAACGGTAAAGTCAAGGTCAGATCTATTCAAGTGAATTATTTGTAAGCCAATGCATATCAATATGTTTTATATGTACAAATATTCCGTGTAGTAGTTGTGAAAACAGCATGTATAATAATTATACAAGAATCTGTAAAATAAAATAAAATAAAATAATAAAATGAAATACCAATCTCTCCTTCCTGGTGTCATATGAAACATCAAAATGTAAAGACACAACACCAATAATTATTATAGAATAATGTGTATGTTCCAGCTCCCTAAAAGGCTTTAAATGACGTACAGAGCAGTATTTACTCTTAGTTTGCACTCAGACTTTATTAAAAGTTTTATGCTTCCATATTTAGTCCATATTCCATATTCATCTCTATTCATGCCTTCAAAAGCTGCTAACATAGCTTGATAAATTAACGATCATCAACTAACATGTTAATAATACATCTTGATAACTATTCAACAGCATTTTTATCTCATCTGGTAAAGATAAAAAAAAAAAAAAAGTTCTCCATGAAGTGTATAAATTGCTCTATATAACTGGTTTTTGTATACTATTTTTTTATTGAATGTTTAACAGAAGCACAAACTCAAATAATAATTGTCACCATGTAATCATACAATCCTCAGTTTACAGTAAGAGAGTCAGCTTACATCAATGTCCAGCTCCTCGGGTCTGAATGAGTAGGTGTTTTCTCTGTACTCTTCAGGACTCATCTGCTGAAATCAAAGGAAATAATGTCAGATATGATATGCATTATATAATGCATCGCTCTAGACTGCTTTGAGACTCTGCGCATCAAGCAATGGAGCAAGCGGCACGAGCCTGTGTGCAGTTGATTTACTACTGCTGCACATGCAACTTACTCATCAATATGCTGTCAGATAAAGGGAAAAACTAATCGAGACCTTAAATAAGGAACTTTTTTGCAACAGTAACTTCAGTAAATCCTCTAAGTCTTGTAGCCGGTGTGATATAAATGCGTGGCGCTGTGCAACAGGGATCTTTATATACAGTCACACTGTATACAAAAGCACTGGGACGGACACGAACCAAACAATCCACATGAAACATGCAAACTCCATCCAAACAGCTCGGAGGAAGCAAATGGGAAAGTTTGATGGACGTTTTTACACATACGGATCCACACCGCAGAAAATGATTTTCTTGCTCAGTATTTTTTTCCAGTACAAACATCTAAACATACTTGAATCAAAATACATTTACCTGAGAAGCAAAATTACAGATTATACGTCAACATTTTTTAAACGTATCAAAATAAGTAGGTTAATGCTTAAAATAATAAAAAAAATATCTGCCCATGGGGCCAGAAAAATAAGCGTTTTCTCTTTTGAATTAAGTTGATTTTCTCACCCCATTTATGATATTTTGGTAGCACTTCACTTGAATGAAGCCTGTATGCATAATGCATTATAAAGGTATTCACAATGTACGTTATAATGCATTATATATTTTCATAAATAATTGTAAACAAAGTTAAAAAGCATAATAATATTTGCAGATTCCTTGTTACACCTGAAATTGGTTGTTTGCCGTGTGTTTTAATGCATTCTTTCTAAAAGTGTAACAATGAATAGAATAAAGTATTATAATTTATTATAACTGTGGTTATAATTATTCATGAGATCATACAATCTCAAATTTAAAATCTCAAATCATACAAGTAAATTTACTAGCGATTTCTGAGTGAAAATGTTTCACTGATTTTTTTCCCCCAGTGCATTTATGGAATATTTTTCACATTAAGCAACTAAAATGAAAATCATGCTACGAGTGAAACTCTAAAATAAAATAAAATAAAACACCCATCTTTCCTTCCTGGTTTCTTATTGCACATAAGAAATATCAAAACTTAAAGGCAACACCAATAATTCTAACAAAATAATGGGTAAGTTAAATAAAATAAAATAAAATAATCCCATTTTTATATGCACAAAATATTGTTTTAGAAAAAATATTGCAAAAAACAATTGTCATGGCTGGTAAAAATACTAACGGCCAATAAAGTCTTATTTTTTGTGTTAAACAAAATTTTTAAGACTTATTTTTTAAAGACTTTTTAAGACTTAATATTTTAAAATAAGTAAATGTATATTGATTTACTTAATGTTGATGTTCTTGATGTTTAGAAGAACACGGAGTAAGAAAATTATTTTTTAGCAGTACACACACACACACACACACACACACACACACACACACACACACACACACACACACTCATTCACGTTTTTCCGCAGCCGGATGAGTTTATGTAGATATGAATCATCTCATCACAGAAATAAAGCTGCTTCAGCACCATCTGGTGTGTTAAAAACAGAAAAGAAAAAAAATCACAAAGCTCTTAACAGCGCTCGTGTCGTACACGTCCACAACTGCTGTGGGACACCAGAGGGAAACAAACAGAGTTTAAGAACCCAACGACACTCATGTTTTGTGTAAAATATAAACAGATCGTGTGCTGGAAAGGATCTGGAGGTTAGTGGCTCTCGTACAGCAGGTTTCAGGAGGTCGGTCTTCTGCAGTCGATGTTCCCCACAGGCCCGCGGGTTAGCTGTGAGCTGCCGTAATTACCGTCCCCCTCGGTCAGGTCTGTCAGCGCTTGAGTTAGTGTGACTAATGAAAACTACAGACTGAATCTGAAAGCCCTCGCATGTTTGACTGCGGGCCAGCAGGGACACGAGAGCCGCGAGAGCCGGAGGAAGTCCTGACACCGCCGCTGAGTGCAGACGCAGGGGAATCTCAGGATTTCTGAGAGTTCACAGCACCGTGTGAGGAAGCTGCTGCAGGAGATTTGAGGAAAAATCTGAACATATGTCGTCTTTCGAAGACCTTTCGCAAAGACCCGCCCCTCTTAGTTACTGCTGCTATGTCCGACAAGCCACACGTCATGTTCTCACGCAGTGAAAAATACATCACAGAGCAAAGAGGACACTGGCAACACGCCGACAGACAAGACAGAGCAGGTTCCTTTTGGTATGAAACAAAGTCTCAGCATTTGGTCATTTATTAAGAAATTCAAACAATAAATACAGTTATGTGTCTCTTTATTGTGTGGTGACAGATCGCTGGCGCATGAACCGAACATCTCTTCCTCTTTACTAGTTATAGCACGAAATAAACATGATCAATACACACCATTTTTCAAGTTCAAGTCCACAGACCTTATTCTACTCTTTGGAAGATTTATACTTGAGAATAATTACACTTTTGGAATTTTCAGTGCATTTATGGAATATTCTTCACATTAAGCTACTAAAATGAATACATTTGGCAAAAAAAAAGAAAAAAAAAAGTTAATATCTAAATACTTTATATACAAAATCTTGCTGTTTTTCTAGTTAATATCTGATGCTATGAGTGAAACTATAATAGATTATAGCAGATTATAATAAGATTATTGCACTATGTTTTACAAGACAATACTATTTCAGTCTTTCTACTTCAAAATTTCATGTTTAATTCAGCCATTTCTTTGCAATCATTTGTAAAATTTACTAGCAATTTCTAAGTGAAAATTGTTTCACCACCAAAATTTTTTTCCAGAGCATTTCTGGAATATTCTTTACATTAAGCTACTAAAATGAATATTATGTACAAAATATGAATATAGCCTGAATATAATATGTACAAAATCTACTTCTTTTGTATATATATATATATATATATATATAGAGAGAGAGAGAGAGAGAGAGATCATATATGATGCTGTGAAACTATAATAAAATAATAAGTGAAATAATCCCATTGTTATAAGCACAAAAATATAGTTTTAATAAAAACACTGCAAAATACAGTTTTCATGGCTGGGTAAAAAAACTATTTATGTCTTAATTTAAAGCAACGTATATTAATATTACATACAAAATACAGAATAACAGTCTGATGTAAGCAACTCACACTACTTATCTGTCGCAAACTGCACGCCTTCTACTAATTTTTATTTTGAAAGTTGTATTTTTTTTTAAATTTTTGGAATATTCCTCACATTAAGCAATTAAAGTGAGTATTATGTACAACATATGAACATATCTATCTACAAAATCATTGCTTTTCTATCTCATATATGACGCTAAGTGAAATTATAATAAAAAGTGAAAAAATCCCATTGTCATGAGCACAAAAATATAGCAAAATAAAAAAAGTCCAATAAAGTCTTATTTTAAATGTAATTTAAAGTCTTAACTTAAAGCAACTAATATTAAAATTATATACAAAATACGCATATTTTCTTAAATTAAGTTCAAATGAACACTTTATTGGCCATGAATATTTCTTACAAGTAATGAAAACTGTATATTGCTATATTTTTATTAAAACTACATTTTTGTGCTTACGACATTGGGATTATTTAGCTCATCATTTTATTATAGTTTCACTTGTAGCATCACAATCACATTGTCATAAGCACTTTACACTTCAACTTTGACCCGTTCGCTGACTTAACAAAGCAAACAATTATCACGACATGACTGGGTTTCTATCTAATGAAGGCCCATTCACACCAATAACACATAACTCTTTTGTTGCTTCAAAACTGAGTGGATTCTGATCGGCTCTCAATGTTTTTCCAACAATAATGATTCCGGTAATATTGTTCCTCTGCGTTGTTATTGTTTTAGCTTCCACTTCTCTATTCAGAATGATTGTTAAAACTACTTACAGTTATTGTCTGTGATGTGAATGGGCCTTTAAAGCTCATAAAACCCATCAAATGCTTTTCCTTTGGAGGTCAAAAGCCTTCGTGAATCAAACTGGTCTCCAGTCACACACTCGAGTCTGTGCTAACACATGAAAGCCGGCGTGATGGATGAAGCCATTGCTAATGAACGGCACATTAGCACCAGCAGCTGGGATTCGCACGGCTATGCGGTGCACGAAAACTTCAAGCCATGCCAATACCAGTTCCACTTTCAACAAGAAAACAACAACAACAAGGAACACCAATGGGATGTGCTGCAACGAAACCGACACAGGATGGGGCAGTGAGGGGGTGGAGCTTCGACAAAGAGGCGGGGCCAATGACACGAGAGGGGAGGAGCATAACCGTGTTTTCCAAGACCTTACTTGCTGGTACAGTTGCGGCCTTGGCGCCGAGTTCTCAATCATAGTGTGAATCATGAAGATTATTGGCTCATTCTCCTTCATCTAGTACGTGAGGAGGAGGAGTAACAGCCGTTATCAAAGCACTGTGTGTTTTTACAGCTTCTGACCCTCACAAATATCACATGTCTGCTACTCATGCGTTTTTCTTGTTCGCTAGTCCAGAATAATGACTGTGTGCACTTCAGTAATGCAATACAATGTAAAAAGACAATAAATGGTTCCTGTCTAAGAAAGTGAAGAACATTTGCTGGAAAATGTTGGAGGAAAAAGCAGAATCCTACCTGAGCTTAAAACATCTAAATGCCCACTATGATATGTTTAATCTTAGATACAGTTCACTGGGATGTAGGGCTGTCAAAATGGCTAAAAATAAACTTAAATATTATCAAAATTCGAATTATATTCGAATTTAAAATGCATAATTTCAGTTAGGGTGAAGAAAAGCTTTTGGCTTCTCTCCTGAGGCCACAAGAGGGCACATCGAGCAAAATATTACCAATGCATGCTTATTCAAAGCATAAAATAACATGACTATCTGTCAAAAAAAGTGCATAATGTTTAAAATAATGTTTATAAACCAATTATAATTAAGTTGCTTAAACAACTATAAACAAAACAGCCTCATTTATGTATGCATAGTTTATTACAAAGGGCAGAAAGCTAATCACACAGAGTAAATTTTTTTCATTTAAAAACATGAGTTGCAGTGGGATGGGGAAAAAATCCCCGCCATAAAGTCTCGATATATGTTTTTGTCAAAGTTAAACTTGCATTAATTTTACATGGCTTTCTAAACATGCGTCTCTTTTGTGCGAGATGCGAGTGCAACGGTGATAGATGTCCCTCTAGAAAATGTGTGAAATATGTGTTCTGTGTGAACGGCTTGGTTTCAGTTTTGATGTAAACAAGATCTTCTTCGCCTTGATGTTCTCTTTTTCCACAATATTTTTAATTAACAACGCAGCAGCGCCGCATCTAGTGGCTTCAACTGGATAGGCTAACAAAAACATTAAAATGCAACGACACTTACATCGTCATCGCATCTCGTGCGCCACTGATAAAGCTGCCTCCTTAACGCACACCTAAAATTCGAATGCAACGTTTTTGCATTCGAATGTGGATTTTTATTTAAAATTCGACGAATATTCGAAATTCGAATTTTTTTTTGACAGCCCTACAGGGATGTGCTAGACCAGGGGTGGGGAACGTTGATCCTGGAGGGCCGGTGTAAACTCTGCAGGAGAGTGGCCCTCCAGGATCAACGTTCCCCACCCCTGTGCTAGACCATAATTAAAATAATATATTAATTAATATTAATACATAAGAAGAGCAGGAAAACTCCAAACTACAACAGTCTAAAACTAAAACATAATTTTCATAAAACTTCTTAAATCATTTTCAGTAACTGAAATGAACTTGGAATAAAAAATATAAATTCAACTTAAACAAAAAATAAAATAAAAAATAAAATAAATACTGCCTTTGAAACTAAAATAAGTTAAATGAATAAAATGACTAATACAGAAATTAAAAAAGCTAAATATAAATATATAGATATAAATTTAAATATTAATAAAAAAATTCAAACTGAAAATATAAAAATAAAAGGTAATTAGACATTTTAATAAATATTATAATAATAAAAGGGATAATAATAAGATAACACTGGTCCAGAGAGTAGAAAATCTCTAAATAAATAAATAGAAATTATATTTATAATTTATATAACAGAATTATTCAACTACATTAATGAAAAATAAAATTATTAAACTTAACTTAACCTCAAAAGAAAAGAAACATTGCCTTTGCAACTAAAATCAGTTAAAAGAATGAAATGACAAAGTAAAACTGAAATAAAAAATTAAAGCTACATAAAAAAATATATAAAAACATTACAAAAACTTTAAAATTAAAATTGAAAATATAAAAGCAATTATATATGAGTTATAATATAGATGAGCAAATATAGATAAGTTGTTCATTCCGTCAATTACTGAATACTTGCTTATGTCTATATATATATTCATTCTGTCAATTCTTAGAGCGGTTATATATATAATGAAATATAATTCCTCAAGCAAGCGCTTTAAAACAGTGCTTTAAATGAACTGCTATTTTAAGAGACTCCACTTCTACTGAACAAAGAACTGCAGCGGATGCACTGAGGGCCGGAGAACAGAGAAAACGCTTGAGTTTGATCTGTGCTGTAATAAAAGTACAGTAGCCAGAGAAATAAGACAATGAGAGAGAGTCAGACAGGAAGTGAGAAACAGGAAAGGCCCTCACCTGGCTGTCCAAGTACACGAGATTCCTCTGTAGGTGATGGGAAAGGATTTCACTCTAGAGACGGCAAGAGAAAGCAGATGAGAGGAGAGCAGTGAGAAAACCAGAGACGTTGGCGAGACGTGGGCTTCAGAGCAAAAGAAAAACTCCAGAAGCCATTCAAAGTCAAAGTCAACAACTGCAAACTCCACTTTCTCCTCAAGTTCATCATGCACGTTTATGAGCTAGATAAAGCAAGCCGGAGAGCAAATCAGAAATAAGGTTCTTGCACATAAACGGGTCCACCAAGGAAAACATCTATAGCCATCAAAAGAGGATTGCAAACAAAAACAACTTCTGCTGATCATGTTCCTCAAACTGCGACAGATGCATGCAGCAGCCGCACAAAACATGATCCAAACCTACAGGACTGGAGGGATTTCACATGTTAGTGGAAAGGAAGGGACGTTTCTCCAAATAGCTGGTCCAAAGTTTGGAATAATTCAGATTTATTGAATTAAGGCTCACCAAGGTTGCATTGACTTCAGTAAAATTATGACATATTATTACAATTTAAAATAACTGTTTTCTATGTGAATATCTGTTTAAATGTAATTTATTCCTGTGATCAAAGCTGAATTTTCAGCATCAATACTCCAGTCTTCAGTGTCACATCCTTTAGAATTCACTCTAATATATGACCCTGGAGCACAAAAGCAGTCTTAGGTCGCTGGGGTATATTTGTAGCAATAGTCAAAAATACATTGTATGGGTCAAAATGATAGATTTTTCTTTTGTGCCAAAAATCATTAGGATATTATGCAAAGATCATGTTCCATGAAGATATTTTGTAAATTTCCTACTGTAAATATATCAAAACTTAATTTTTGATTAGTAATATGCATTGCTAAGAACTTCATTTGCACAACTTTAAAGGCGATTTTCTCAATATTTTGATTTATTTTGCACCCTCAGATTCCAGATTTTCTAATAGTTGTATCTCAGCCAAATGTTGTCCTATACTAACAAACCATACATCAATGGAAAGCTTATTTATTCAGCTTTTATGATGTAGAAATCTCAATTTCGAAAAATTGACCCTTATGACTGGTTTTGTGGTCCAGGGTCACAAATGCTGATTTGCTGTTCAATTATTAATAATGTTCAAAACAGCTTTTGCTGCTTTTTATATTTTTGTGGAAACTGTTATAAATGATTTTGATGAATAGAAAGAACAGCATTAATTTGAATTAGAAATATTTTGTAACATTATAAATGTATTTACGGTCACTTTGGTTCAATTTAAAGCATCCTTGTTGAATAAAAGTTGTTTTTTTTTTACTTTTGAATGGCAGTGTATCAAGGTTTCCACTAAAATATGAAGTAGCACAACTGTTTTCAACATTGATGATATTCAGAAATGATTTTTGAGCAGCAAATCAGAATATCAGAATGATTTCTGAAGGATCATGTGACACTGAAGATGCTGAAAATTCAGCTTTGATCACAAGAATAAATTACATTCTAATATACATCCACATAGAAAACAGTGATTTTAAATGGTAAAAATATTTCATTACCATTACTGTTTTTATTGTATTTTTAATCAAATAAATGCAGCCTTGGTGAGCATAAAACAAGTCTTTCAAAAACATTTTAAAATCTTAATTATTCCAAACTTTTGACCGCTAGTGTGCACTAAAGCTGGCATTAAAGGGATAGTTCACCCAAAAATGAAAATTTGATGTTTATCTGCTTACCCCCAGGGCATCCAAGATGTAGGTGACTTTGTTTCTTCAGTAGAACACAAACAAAGATTTTTAACTCAAACCATTGCAGTCTGTCAGTCATATAATGGCAGTCAATGGGCTCCACGGCTTTGAGAGTAAAAACAAAACATACACAGACAAAACCAAATTAAACCCTGCGGCTTGTGACGATACATTGAGGTCTTAAGACACAAAACGATCGGTCTGTGCAAGAAACTGAACAGTATTTATATAATTTTTTACCTCTGATCCACCGCAATGTCCAACTGTCCTGAGCGTGTTCACAGCATCCGGCGCATGATGTCAAATAAATACGGTTGGGCAAAAAATTCCACGTTGTCTGATGATATATCAAAATCGTCTTCCATTGTGATGACCTGTACTTCTAAATATCTTTAGATCATCGCAGTGCCAGTGA